GTTTAGCCAAAGTTAACCCTAGCAGAGATTCTACTATGTGATACCTGGGTTATTTCTTTGGAAACTTCCTTGTGAGTTACATATGGCACTTCTCACCAGTTCTTGTCTTCTCTTACTTAGTCATCACTCACAGAAAATTGGGGAAAAGGGAGGGAATACAGATTGGCACCAGGGAGAGTCTGTTTTGGTCTCCTGGATAGTTCCCTGCTGTCTACAATAGTCTGTCTTTCAGGCTTGTCTACTGCCACACTCTACTCACATCTCACATCCCAGGCTGCATCCAGATCTCTAGCAGGCTCACCTGAAGCAGACCTAGCATGGGGATTAGTGTGAGCATGATTTATGCAGGGCAGTTCCCAGGAGAAATGCTTACAGGAGTGAGGAAAGCAACCAGGAGTTCTCCAAGAATGTAGGTTCAGGTGCTGTCTAGCTTCAGGCTGATCCTGTCAGGTGCTTGGGAGTGGAATTCAAAGCCCAGTGGTTTGTTTCACTTTCAGGTTTGGGAGTTTCGAGTTCCAGCTTAACTCCCAGTCCTCCTAAATGAGGAGGCTTCAATCCCAAGGGCAAGCTTCCTGAGAAGTGTGAAGTATATAGATGTGGGCCTTGAATGTGTGAAAGGGATTTCCAAGGATTTAGGTGGTCTAATTACATGACAGGGGCCAAACCAAATGATTTCATGGGCCTTTTATGGCCCTCAGGCTAGATATTCTCCACCCATGCTTTAAAACATCATCCCCTCTTAACACTTATCTCCTCTGCACTTGTTGTTGCCTTTGTTTAGAGCAGTGGTTCTCAACTTTGGCTGCACATTAGAATCACCTGGGAATCTTTTTAAAATCCTGATTTCTGGGCCTCATCTTCTGGAATCAGGATTTTAAAAAGATTCCCAGGTGATTCTAATGTGCAGCCAAGGTTGAGAACCACTGGCTTAGAGTATCCCTTACCTCTTTTTATTATCATTCTAGATCCTGTTTCAAATGGTAAACCATTTCTACTGCCACAGACTCAGTTTGTATTTATAGTCATTACCAGTATGTATCGTGATTTAGCTGCACATATGTATGACTCACTCAATAGAACTTCTTGTCTTCTTGAGGTCAAGAACTGGTTCTAATTCAGTCCATATTTTTAGCATATATTTCTGAAAGGAATGATGAGAGAGAGATATAATACTTAAGGATCTGATGTTCTTTAAGGTTGTGTCAAGCAAATAATGTGGTTGTCTTTTTTTGCTTGATCTTGAAATCATAATGTTTTGCAATGAAAACAGTTTGTATTTGGCAGCCAGAATACCTTTGTAGCTTAACCAGCTCATGCCTAGTTGATCCATTTGTTCAATTGTCATGTATACTTTTATTCAAAAAATACTTATTGAGCATATTTGCCAGGCACTTGGCTAAGAACTGGAGACATGAGGATAAACAAGACCTAAATGATCTCAGTTCTCACAAAATCTTATGATTCAATGACAAACAGACAAACAAAAACTATGCAACCATATAGCACTATAAAAGCAGTGATTGGGGTAGTATAGGGAGCTATGGAAACACCCACACAATCTAGGCTTGCAGTTCACAAAACCTTTCCAGAAAAGGAATGTGAAAGCTGGGCTTAAAGGATCAATGAATGTTAAAATGAACAAATTTACTAATAAAATATTGATTGGTTTCTGTAGTCTAATTTGAGGCCCTATCAGTCTTTGAACTGGACCTTAGATTTATGGAAATAATTTAAAATAAGTTATTTGTGATACCACATAAGTTCAACTAAGTTTATTATCTGTATTATGATAGTTTGTTTTTTGTTTTTTATCCAAATCAGTCAGTGAGATGTATACTTTTATGGATAATACCTTTCTCTAAATCAGCTGAATCCTACTACTAGAATCCTGGAGGAGCCATAGTAATCATTTGAACTTTGCAAAATTTTACTTTTGGTACCCTTGGATCTTTATGTTTCAGATTTGTATGTGTGACATAAATATGTCTTTACATATGTTAACTCTTAAAAAGCTTAAAAAGTTCTGCAAGAAACAAAAAATTGAATTACCATATGACCCAGCAATTTCACTTCTGGGTATCTATCCAAAAGAATTGAAAGGAAAAAAAAAGAATTGAGTTCCAAAGAGATATTTGTATACTCAAGCCCATAGCAGCATTATTCACGTAACCAAGTGGTAGAATCAACCAAACTGCCCATCTACAGATGGATGAGTAGACAAAATGTGGTATGTGCATACAATGGAATATTACTTAGCCTTTGAAATGAAGGAAATTCTAACACACGCTACAACATGGATAAAGCACAAGGATATTATGCTAAGTGAAATAAGCCAGCAATAAAAAGACAAATACTGTATGATTCCACTGATACAAGGTGCCTAGAGTAGTCATATTCATAGAAATAGTAAGTAGAATGGTGGTGCTTACCAAGGGCTGGGGGAGGAGAAAATGAGGAGTTTTTGTTTTATGGGGAAAGAGTTTCAGTTTTGCAAGGTGAAAAAGTTTTGGAGATTGGTTATATACCAGTGTGGATATACTTACTGTCACTAAACTGTACACTTAAAAATGGTTAAGGTGGTAAATTTTATGATATGTGTATATTATCACAATTTTTTAAAAAGCTTTTAAAAATGTAAGTAATGATTTCTAATATTTACTCCATTATCCTGAGTTGGGTTGGTAAAATAAGAGTTCAAAAGTAATGAGGCTCAGCTCATGTAGTGGTGATGGGGGTTGGCTTGTGACAGGGTAAGGAAGCTTAAGCTCTGCCCTGTGGGTGGTGGGAGCCACTAAAGGTTGTAAAGAGAAGGACTTTGTCAGTTTGTGACTCAGAAAGGCCCCTGGTGCAGGGCAGAGGATAGATGGGCAAGGGGCAACCTCAGCAGCAGCCTAGCCAGCCCAGAGGCTGTTGGTGGCCAGCTTAGAACTGATGAGAATCTGAATGTGGGCAGATCAGTGGGTAGGTTAGTGGTGGTGGGGGACGAGGATGGAGTAGATTCAAGATAATCAATTAGACAGACTCAGTGATTTATTAAATTGGCAGATGGTGGGGGGTAAAAGAGAGGATGGAGTCAGAATGACTCCTACTTTCCTGGCTCAGATAACTGAATAGGTGGCAAAGCCTCCCTGAGAGAGAACTGAAGAGGGGGAGGAGGGGTGGGGGGTAGATGGGCTGAAGGCCCAGACACTGTATACCGGGCATATGCACGACATTCTCCCACTCCCAATGAACACATAACTGATCAAGAATGAATGTTAAACTAGATCCATGTTTCTGAGGCAGATTACCTTCCCAAATTATTCATAGGGCTAAGAACACAGACGGATGGTATTGTGTAGTTCATGGAAATGCTCTAACCTCATTCTGAAGTGTGTTCTCTCTCAAAGAGGTGTTAGCTACCAAATTGTCGATTCAGTTATCAGACATGGGCTTCATCACCTCATGGGAGTGGGGAGGGTTTGATGATTGTAGCGCGAGATTTCAGATTTAAATCAACTGGACAGGGTTCCGGCTCTGATGCCCATTACTTAGGTGACACTAGACAAGTCTCTGAACCTCTCTGAGTGTCAGTTTTATCATAAGAAAAATGGAGCATCCTAGGTAAGAAGGATTGCAATGGAAGAAACAGATGAGAGTCCTTTGCGAGCTATAGTCAACATATTGTGTGCTGTATTTTTGTTTTGTTTTGAAATTAATACTAAGCCCTAATGGGTTTGGCTCAGTGGATAGAGCGTTGGCCTGTGATCTCAAGGGTCTCAGGTTCGATTCCGGTCAAGGGCATGTACCTTGGTTGCAGGCACATCCCCAGTAGGGAGTGTTCAGGAGGCAGCTGATGGATGTTTCTCTCTCATCGATGTTTCTAACTCTCTATCCCTCTCCCTTCCTCTCTGTAAAAAAATCAATAAAAAATATTTTTTAAAAAAGAAATGAATATTAAGCTTAGAACATGTAGAAGGCCTCTTTGGGAAATACAAGTAATGATAATCAACGTCTGAATAAAAGTGGACAACAGATTGAATTGCCAACCCTTCTTGTTACTCAGATTATGAGTCAGACTGAGAGCTGATATCCAAAAAAGTCATTTTCACCTAAAAAATTAAAGAAATGCAGGTATGATTTTGTAAGAAAACATGTTGTTGGCAACATGACATGATAAAAATAACTGTTGGTGATAATAATGGGGTACTGGGTTAAGGTTAGACATCACAGTTAAGCTTGAGACAATGTTATGGCAGTATTTGGACCCCAGCCCATAATACCCCTGTATCATTCACAGAGAACAAAAGCAAAGCAAAGCAAACTAATATTTTACTAGCTGGGTTGTAAGTGGTACATAGAATTCTTAGGAGAAATGATTCCTGGTACTTAACAAGACCGACACTGTTTTTATGAAACAAGCTGACCCCTATCACCTGAAAAGAATAAGTGGGCCCATTAAGTTGTTTACTGCTTTGGATTAAACCAGTGGTTCTCAACTTTGGCTGCACATTAGAATCTTTTTGAAAATCCTGATTTCTGGGCCTCATCCTCTGGAAATTCTGTTTCTTTGTTATGGGGTGGGGCCACAACATTAGTAACAAAGAAACAGAATTTTCGGAGGATGAGGCCCAGAAAAAGGATTTTAAAAGGATTCCCAGGTGATTCTAATGTGCAGCCAAGGTTGAGAACCACTGGTTTAAACAGTTCTTAACAAGCACGTGCCTCTACCTACAAGCCACCTGTGTTAGCCCGTCCCCTCAGCACCCTTCTATAGCCCACAGGTAGAGATACTACGTTGTCAGGCAAAAGCAATTCATCAGTTTTGGTCGATTTTGATGGCTGTTTCGCTTTTGCTTGCACTTGACCTGGTGTATGGTGACCACAAAGAGTCTGCAGCAACACCCGTTTGGGGATGTCAATGACAGGTACACTGTGTCCTGCCACTGCAGTTAGAATGTGACGTTCGGGACTGTACCCTTTGCGAACACTAATGCTGTTTTTCTTTCTTGCCTTTTCACCTAGAAGTATCGATACCAAGATGAGGACGCTCCACATGATCATTCCTTACCTCGACTGACCCACGAAGTGAGAGGCCCTGAGCTCGTGCATGTGTCAGAAAAGAACCTGTCGCAGATAGAAAATGTCCATGGCTACGTCTTGCAGTCCCACATCTCTCCTCTGAAGGTCAGTCTGGTTGTGCTGAGAGCTGGCGGCTGCAGTGGGTCTGCCTTGCTAAGGGCGATGTTTGCGGGCCTGATAAAATGAGGCTTTTAAACAAACACGACAGTGGACGGTGGTTGCTGAGTGGTTGCTTTCTGTGGCTTGGAGGCTTTACATGGAAATCCTGACACAGGGCAGTTCCTGCGATTGTGGGAAGGTCTGGAAAATCTGTTTAAGTGCTGAGAATGGACTAGGGACAGCCCCGGGTGAATAAGGTTCCTGCGATTGTGGGAAGGTCTGGAAAATCTGAGGTGCTGAGAATGGACTAGGGACAGCCCCGGGTGAATAATTGAAAGGGAAATGAAGGGAACCTCAGGTTTAAAAAGCTCAGGACTACATCAAGGTTTTGTTCAAATGGTTTTTTCCCATCTCTCTTCCTGGTCTCAGACAAAATGATGGGAATAGGTAGAACATGAAAACACCTTAGTGTCATACTTTTCCACCTTTTTATTTAATTTTAAGCAATTTCTTGATAAACAGTATTTTGAAAAGGAGAGAAAATGAAATGAGAGTAAGGATTTTCTGTGCTCTTTGGTTGCAAATTACTCTGTCTTCGTGGATGCAATGGGATTTTGTGCTTTGAGTAAAAGCTTATGTGTTGATTAAAGTTAAAGAAAAATTGAATAGCGTCAATGATGTAATAGAAGAGAACTGAAATGAAAAACAAAACCACAACAAAACTACCTGGTAACCTAGGTTATCGGTAAAGAAAGTTTTATTTCGTTAGCCAGAACATTCACTTTAGCAGTGCTTCTCTATGGTTGTTTTGCAATAAAACAATATAGCCATAAGGTGGCCATGATGCTTTCTGGAATCTTATACTTTCTGAAATATCAAAGAAAGGATAAATTATGTTTAATATAGCTCCAAAATTTGGTACATTTTAAGTAACCTAGAATCCTAAAAATGTACTATCAAATAAACTAGCTCTAGCTACCATCAATTAATTAAAATAGGTTAATTCTAAACTTTCAGTAAATATAATATGTAAAAATAAGTAAATGTTATGCCTCTGGAAATCCTTGTTCAGTTCTTCCCCGAGTCTGTTTCGAAAGCATTGAATGGCTGATGGGAATGAGTATGTTTAACCTGGAGAAGAAAAAGTTAAGGGGATTTACCTTTTAGACCTCAAGGGCTGTCATAAGGAAAATACAGGATTGGTGTTACCCAGAGAGTGGAGGCTGAACCATTGGGCATAAGTAACAGAAATGTTCATTTGTGATCATCATAAGACCACAAGTCCTGACAGTGAGAGCTACCCCCCCAAAGTGCTGGCGTTCCCTGTGCCTGACATCGTTCAGGCCTGGATGATGACCGGGCAATGGTGGTGAGGAGAGGACTCCTTCTTCAGCAGGAGGATGTTTAAAACTGTCCCTAAGGTTCAGCCTGATTCTAGGAATCAGTGATTCTATTCTGTGGTCAAATACCCTTCTTCTTTAAGGACTCTTCCATTTTTTTTTATAAACGAATTCTTATCCTTATTCTGTGTGCTGACCAGTATAAATTGAGAAGTGGCAGAGCTGGGAGATGGACAGCAATGAGAATACTACAATTTCAGTTCACTATTTTTTTTTCTAACTTCTTGAAAGAATCCCTGTAAGGACTTCCATGGAGCTTTCCTTGTTATTTTCCTCCCAACATGAACTTTTCTCCCCTTCTTTGCACTTCCTTTTTAATCAGCTCTATAGCATGTCTCCTAAAGGCTGCAAGCCGAGTGGGATAATCAAGGGTGGTCTAAAGCTAGTCTGGTTACAGTAAAAAAAAGAAGAAGAAGAAGAAGAAGAAGAAGGAAGAAAAGAAACAACCAAAAAACATGATAGGATCTTCATTTTGTATATTCTGTCTTCAGCATATATATGATACTATAATTATCTTACTATCTACAGTTTGGGTTATTGCACAGTGTGTTATGCTACTTAATGCCTCGTTTGGAAAATGCATATTAGAGCTGAAGGCAAAGGTTGCTTTTTCTGAAGGTTAGATCAGATCTCAGATACAAAAGGAGATTTCCTATTTTACCTTTATCCCTTGCCTTCCAGGGATCTGAGTTGTGGCTTCAACTTCAGTGGCTTCTCTTAGCTTAGGTTTTCAATTTCTCCCTTCTATCTTATTCCTTATTCTGTTTTTGAAAAAAAATATTGGTTTCTATGGTTTTCATGGTGGTGTTTTTATTGAATGGACCTCACCTATAAATAATAAACCTCTGCTATGAAACATTAAGGTTAGAATAGGTTTTTCCCTCCTTTTGGGAACCACCAGCTCAATGGTGTGAGCTCCAAGGTATTGTGAAGAGGATGGGAAGGTGAGTTCACCCAAGACTTCTGCACCCAGGCTGTGAGGTAGCTATTAGGAGGCCAGGACTTTTCCCTCATGACTGGCTAGAGGTGTTGTTTATGCTGAACAAGATATACTTTTAGATTGCCTTAATGAAGAGTCTGTGCACCTTTCTTCTATTAGCAGTAATGTGAGGGATAAAAACACAACACTCAGATGTGTAGAGCTGGCCAATTTCCTGGTGTAAATACCCCCATCGTGACTGATTTTAGGCTACCAACCTGAAGCCCCTGGATGTATTTAGGAAGAGAGACACACGAGGCTCTCACCAGCCTGCAGGAGCACAGTACCGCACACCAGGCTCAAGTGCAGGTATTTTTATAGCAACAGGACCCATTTCCTAATCAAATTGCTAAGGGGCTATGATATTATCCCAGTTTCAGTGCTTGGAAAACCTGCCATGATTGAAATCTAATGTGTTATTTTCTCATAAAGGAAGCCTATTAGAGTCGGAGGAATGCTAAGGAGGTACAGTTCTCCATTAGAGCTGGCATATCGTCAACCTCTTTGCTGCTTCCCTCTATCTGGTGCTCTTGGGTCAAGTACTAAAAGGGGGGAAGAGTGAGGAGGCAAAACACACTGTCGGGAACTGCCCCTGAATCCTCATTAGCAGACACTGTAGCTCTCTAGTCTAAATCAGGGATTGGCGCGTGGTGCACCTAAACAAGAGCGTGGAGTGTGAGATGGCTGGCTAACAGTTTAAATGTCCTAGTGATCAGCCTCTGGATCATTAGCTGAGGAATCCCACTGCCTCAGGTTGCACAACTGTTTCTTCCATCCAGTGTATCCCTTGAAGCCTGGGTTCTAAGATTCATCTGCGTCTGGCCTGAGCCCGCTGCCTGGCTGATAGATGGGCTCGCCTAGCTTGTTTTCCTTCTAGTGGCTCCGCCAGTGTGAAGTATGGGGTTGGAAAGAGACATGCAATTTAGCGGTCAATTCGAGGGAATTTGTTTTCCTTGCCTCCAGATGGGAATGCTTTCTCCTCAGATGTTATCTAGACTTATCCATAGAGAAATTGGCCTATACTAGTATATGAAGCAGGAGAATTTTTCTTTTTCGGTTTAGGTCAATTCAATTAATATTAATTGAGTGCCTCCTATGTGCATCATAATAAGTGATGGGGAAACAAAGGGCAGTAAAACATGATTTTAAATATATATATATGAAATTTGTGCACTGGTAGGGTCCCTAGCAGCTGCCAGGGTCCCTAGCGGCTGCTGGCTGCCTGCCAGGTACTCCTCCCTTCTTCTGGCTGCCTGCCACCGAAACCACCAGTTGCCAACTCCCTCCCTTCCCCCGGCCAGCCCTGCCCCCTGGTGGAACTCCCAGAGGAGCTCCTGGTCAAAGGGACAATTTGCATACTATGCTTTTATTATATAGGATATATCACTCTTCTAGGGGACCCGAGTTCTAATTATTCATTACTTACTCTTACTCTACAACAGGAATTCAAATTCCTGAAGCTTAGATACTATGAGACCCCAAGCATCCGAGAGTACTCTCTAAAAGGGAGGGGAGAAGGAGGAGAGGGAGAGGGAGAAGAAGAGGGAGAGGGAGAGAGAGAGAGAGAGAGAGAGAGAGAGAGGGAGAAGGACAGACTGACTTATTTTTAAGAATCTGGACATTAGAATACCTGGGTTTTAATCCTAGTCCTTTCATTTAGTAGCTGTATGACCTTGATCAAATTAATCCCTCTGCCTCAGGTTCTGCATCTATAAAATAGAGGTAATAATAATTTATCTCATAGGGTTTCTGTGCAAATTAAATGCTGTAATACATGTACACTACTTGGAAACTGCCTGGCACATAGTAAGCACTCACCGATGTTGTTGATTTTTATCTTATTATCATCAGACAGCTACCATGACAAATACCTTAAAATCACTTATTTACCTCATTTTATCGCTAAAATATATTACACCTGGTTTTAAAATTAAATAGTTCCCACTTGACTGGTGTGGCTCAGTGGTTGAGTGTTGACCTTTGAACCAGAGGTCATGTTTGATTCCTGATTCCCAGTCAGGGCACATGCCTGGGTTGTGGGCTCTATCCCCAGCGTGTGTCATGCAGGAGGCAGCAGATCAATGATTCTCATAATTGATGTTTCTAGCTCTCTCTCCCTCTCCCTTCCTCTCTGAAGTCAATAAAAATATATTTAAAAATTAAATAAATTAAATAGTTCCCTTCAACCACATAACTAGTAAATAGGATTCCAATATTTTTAAGGCCTCTCTGAATCCAAAGCCTGTATCCCTTATCACTCCTGTGCTGTATCACTTTTCTAAATTGGTCTGCTATTTTTAAAGAGATCTAAAATATAAATTTTTATTCATTGTTTCCATGTGTGTGAAAGTTGAAGCTTCTTTTCTCTCTGGAACCTTATTCTGTAAAATTAAACAGATATAAAATTCAAGGGGATGGCTAAGAAATTTAGTTTTCTAAATGAGAACCATGATAAGCGGTGATAGATGGAAATGAAATACTATGAGAAAATAGAAGGAAAACAGGTTCTGTCTTTAAAATCTTTTAATCCACCCAGT